CTCAACACATTGTTGTGTGTGATCTCCTGCGCATGTTGTTGTCGGCAAGGCCTTGTGAAGACTGATCTCAACACGTGGGCTGCGCACACGGTTAGCCACAAGTTGACATGGCGCCTCAACTGGAGGGGATGTAGCCAGAGAACACAGTGCAGTCTGCAATGCACAGCATACGTCACTCGAGACATCTAGTTTCTTCGAGAGTCGCCAGGCGAAGCCAACACATGAAATCAGCTTTTTTCGGGAGGCAACCATGGCAAACCGTAAACCCTAAACCCTAAACCCATGAGTGCGCAGGGTCAGCATTCGCCTCGAAGGTGCTCCAAGCAGCGGAGTCCGTGCAGTCGCAGTAGCTGGGAAGGCTGCCTGTAGACTGAGCTGTGCTCGAAGGTTCGTGAGCTGCTGTAGGCAGAAGCCCCTTATCAGTAGCGCGATTGTGGTTCTGTGCCTCCAGCTCCGTATGTCGGAGGGCTGACAGGCTGGGGTTAAAGCTCCCAACCTTCTGGAGCTGATGTTTTGGGCCTGTACTTGGGCTGGGCGTATGCTACACAGTTTAGTCTCGCGCGAGCTGTAGTCAACAGGTGGAGCCCAACGTTCAGCAGCATGCTACCGCAGCTCAGACCTGCGACTAGGAAGTTCCAGTGGTATAAGTCAAGGGATTGCGGACGAGAGGGAAGGGCCACGTCTTCACCCTTGTGGACGATGGGCCCTAGAGGCCCTAGAGAATTCTATGTCTGTGTGTTTGTTCGTGGCATGTCTCCTAAGAGTCATATGGTTCGATTTGGTTCCCCTCCTGAGACACTGCTTGGGGTGTAAGGCGGCTTTACGCTTTAGCTCTCGGGTCTCTGGCTTGCGGCTTTGGTGTTTTGAGTCTCGGGCTTACATCTCGGAACGTCCTCGCCGATGTGGCCTGGTCGGAGCGTGCTGAATCACCTATGACCCTCTCCTGCCTGAAGCTCAAGGAACCAAGCCTCCCCACACACGGCAGGCCTGTCAACTTGACCGCGAAGAGGCACACCGACTCGTGGTAGGCCTGCTAGGCTCCGATTACGGGCTTGTTCAGGGGCCTTTTAAAGACATTTCGACACGCACACTCGCCAGGGCAGGCACGGATCCACGCTATATAGACATTTCAGCACTCACAACTATATAGACATTTAAGGTGCGGGGAGCAGGGCAATGTTGCAGTTCCGCCACGGATCGACCTAAAAGAGGCAAAACACTTTATTGATTGCAGTCCTCTGTTATTCCCACCATCGAGGCCGTCTTCATGTTCTCGATGGCCGCGGCCACCTTAGGAAGAGCTGAACATGTCAGGCTGACCAGGATTTTATTCTATAGTGGGCTTTCGTCTCTGCGGCTAGGATTATTCGCGCATGGCTTTAACGCTGCAGGCTTGTACAACCAAACTTCGCAGATAAATCAGCATAGAAGCAACGTGCATTCCTGTCTGTCTGTCTGTGTCAAGATGGACAGATATAGACAGGTAGATGGATAGATAGCTGCATCGACAGAAGCATAGCGCACACGCACAAACAAATATTCTGCACACATTGCCGTCGGCTTATTGCTAGCTGCGACCACCGTGTATGCTTCCAGCATGAAACTGACCGACAGGAAGACCCTCAAGCAGCCAAGCGTTGTGCCAAATCAGTCGCGAGAGACGCTCACCGTGGCTTCCCGCTCGTCTGGCAGTTGGCAGGTCATCCGGTGACTCTGCCTGAATTGAAGGGTCCCGTGGGGCTGCTCAATGAACACGAAAGAATAGGTAATGCACAGACCCATGTTCTGGACTTTGGGATACGGTAGCGGTTCGAACTCTGCCGTGTTTGGAAAATTGGTTCACTTGGACTCGCTTCGATTCCGGGCGATAGGCCCGACACCTAAAGCCGACAACGTCGCCTGCCATTCACTTTGACAAAGCGAACCAACGATCTAGAGCCACAACCAATGACTACAGGCAGAAGAGGGTGTAGGGTAGATAGATCGCACGAGAGTTACAAAGGGACTTTGCAGGAACTTAGCAGGCTAACGTGCTGGAGGCATCGTCGGCACTACCATACATGTTAGTTCGAGGTTCTGACTAAGCTATCGTGATAGAGGTAGACTTACAAGCACCCTACTTGCGGCGACAAGCATTGCAAAACTGTAGTCGCGGCACTTCTGACGCGAAGAGTTTCGCGCCAAGCACCCCATGTAGCTACCTATAACTAGCGAGCATGCCAAGTACATGAGCCCTCAATCCTCTTACACAGCCAAGACTCAGATCTTTGGGGAAGTAGCAATGGAATTCGTCCATGTAGACGCCGTAGAAGCCAAAGTGTGGTTCTGTAACCCACTTGTGAATCCACTTGCCGAAAGTGTCCTTAGCAAACGGATCGGTGGCTTGAGGGCTCCGTTCGCGAGCAAGACGTTAGATTGCTTGTAAGAGGAATTACCTGGGCTGCCCGAAGCTGGATCCACTTCGTCTTGCAGGCATTTGCACTATCTCCAGATTTTCTGCGCTTCAGAATGCATGTGTTGGAGAAGTTCCGGAGTTTTCTGCATGCACGCAACCACCACGTGCGGTAGCAGATACATTCCCGTCGAACCTTGACTTGGTGCACACAAGTTACCCAACCTTCCAAGAGCCCTTATATTATATTATATTATATTATATTTTATATATATATAGTATATTATAGTATATTATATTATAACATGTTATACATTATTTTTCTGCATCTCACCGAGTGTCCGGAAGCGAGAAACCTGGCTCTCCTGGAGCAGCGTTCATGAACTTGAGCGCCGCGTAGTATCCAGGGCCGCCACCGGAATAACCTGGAGACACCGAGCATGTCGTCTTTACACTTTGGACCCTTGTGACGATCACTACCGAATGGAGGGTGAGGATTTGGAAATGAAGTGTCGGCGGGATTGTAGGGGCGCGCATCTCAAGCTCCGTCAAGCACACATGGACGAGGAAAGTTTAAAGTACTATACAGAGCAGCTCAAGGCCCCGGGCTCAGCGTCACGCAAGAATTAAGTGGCAAAGCAAACAGCACTCACAAAAGTTAGTCTAGTCTAATCACCATGTGACGAGTTTGATTCCGGCAGGTGTTGACCATCTGGGACCTAATGTAACTATACCACGAAACTCCCGAGTCATAGACCCCTCGAACACCGAAGCGTCCAAGACCTGGGGTCCTACGCCGCGGCTTCGCTCTCCGAGCTTTGCCCATTAAAGCAGGAGGCAATGCTGGTACATCGAGAAGACGTGGTCTCTTGGACGACCTCGTTGCATGCACCCGCAAGTAGATTCGCAACACCGGGAAGTTCACTTGCATGCGTCTGCAAGCCGCATGCTTGTCTAGAAAAGTCCCGACGCATTAAGCACATGCTCTGGGGGCCGAAGGTGCGTCATGTGGAACAGTGCAGGTCAAGGATTGAATGCCTCGCATAGGTCTTTTAAATTTCAGTTCTATTCTCCTCTGCATTCACCTCTGCAGTGCAGAGTCAGTTTGCGCCAACTACGAGATAGCGCCATACATGGCAGCTACTTCTAGATCAGCTTCCAGATTCGCCTTCCCAGTGTAAACTCCCAAGCTCCCGTTACTGGCTGCAGTACAGCTAGTAAATTAGAAAGTATCTTCATGAGAACCGCCATCTAGAATCTAGAACGACCCTGCCCATCAAGTTGCCCAGATCACCTCAGACATCCGACTCCCAAACCAAGGGCTCGTACATGTGGTGGCTCACCCGACTAAGTACTGTGGCTGGTGGGCCCAGGGCTCGCGACCAAAATTTGCTGTCGACCCTTGTATCCAGCCGCCCGGCCTTCGTATCCTGCAGCTTGGTACCAGTTTACGTACATGCCGGCCCACAAAAATGCTACCTCAAAAGACGGACATCCGCCTGCGCTATCCAAGGGTCGGAGCATCACGACGGTGTGTTGGAACACAGCTCTCTTTGAGAAGGAGAAGCAGATCCTTTGACATGCTGAACTTGATTGAGCTTGTTAATTAAGTGGGGTCAACTTCGTCTTGCGCCTAGGTTTCCAGGCTTCCGGGCGGGTAGTTTATGTTGCAGGTACCTGCGCAAAACAAGGGCTTTCGAAAATCAGGTTGCCTCTACGTTTACCCCGTCCCAAAGTATATGACGTCTCTCGAGGACCCATTCCAGAGCCTGTCCCACGGCCACCCAGTTTGTTCGAACCAAGTTGGTGGGTCCAAAAAAAATCTTCACCATCTTGCATCCAGTCGGTGAGACACCTTGTAAGGCTTACGGCTTTACAAGGTTTTACACGGTACACCGCCGCCCTCATGCCAGCACATACTCCGCAAGAGGCTGTGATGATTAGCGATGCTCTGGGATGGTGCACCGGCTCATTGACACAAAGGAGCACTGCTGGCACTCACTACATCCGCAAGCCCAGGCAATTCCTGAAATCAACAGGACCCCCCAGCCCTAAACAGGAACAGCTTTAAGGTCTACTCCCCTGAGCCATGAGGTTCTACGACTGATCTGCCTGGGCTCTCATCTGAATACAAGTTCTCGCGGCCAACGATTTGCCCCAAGTCGTGTACCGTGGAACAGCCTTCCAAAGCATGTTACCGGCACACCTTGTAGGGGCTCTCGCAGCTCGGACGGACATTGCTGTTCGGCTAGTGTCTACGGTTTGCGGCATCTCGAAAGCGATAATTGTCTTGCTTGCTGTATGCCGGCAATCGGCCACCAGACCACAACAACAAGAAGCACCACAACCACGAGAACTACCGAACCAAAAAGAAGATATTCCAACACCGAACCTCGGTGCGGGGAAAAGCCCCGGAATACCAAGCTAAGGCCATGTTCGTCGCATCGCGATTTCCATTGCTCACAGCGCAATTGGCACCGGAAATGGCAAGCATAGCACAAGAGCCACCTGAGGACCTGCTACTGAATCTAAAACGACGATGTCCGGACATGAGGTTATATGGGACCCATAATTATGTCCCTCCCCTTCCCTTCCAGCATCGAGCCTGCCACTTTGGGGATGTGCAAATGAAACACCTGGGTGCGCAGCAGAGGCAAAGTTCGCCATATTATGCAGAAGCGGCGAACAGAATTGTTGCCATCTCTTGCATGGCTATCCGTGGTCTTTATCAATTCCGCCTCGTGCTCTAGTCCAGGGGCTGTTGCTCTTTAGTTTGCTTGTTTGTTTGTGTGTATGTTTGTCTGTGGAGTGGCTGAGTCAGTTGCAGAAACCAAGAATGATTTGGGGTTACATAGGAGTTTGCGGGGGCATCTCCTATTGCAGTGTCCGCATGAAAGCAGCTTGCAAGTCATACTGCAGCGACTTTTTCCCACCCGCCCAGCTGACCAAGTCGCACGGTGGCACTGATCGGCCGCATCGCCATTACAAGTATTACCACCTGCAAACCCAGCATCACCGTCGATATCGCCATCACCAACAGCAACCTCGTTGCACAGCCACCATCATCGACACTTATATAATAGGGCCGCCATCATCGCCACGAGCATGACCTACATTTTCTCGTCATCCGCATCATCATCACAAGTGCGACGGGAATCCACAATTGCAGTATCAACACGAACATCGTCGACATTAGCATCATCACATCTCACGTCTCTCCGTTGTCACCATCGCCCTGACTATACTCACCATTCAACCTCCGGAAACATCACCACCATCATCAACACCACCAATAATCATAAATAAAACACACATCACCAGCACCATCACCACCATCGGCACCACCGGTGCATCAGCACTGCCATGAACGCTATCATCGTCTTCATTCTCGGTCCCAGTCACCTCAGCATCCGTGGGATAGGTGTGGTTCCAGCAGTCGGTATACTGCAAACTCGGATCCACGACCTCCTCCTTGCCAGGGGTGCTGAAATCGTATGGGGATACCTCACCATTGGCGACACAGCCATAGCCTAAGAATCAGCTTGCCCTGTGATGCCGCTGAAATTTGCTGCACGGATTTGTGACACCCGCTGATACTACATGTGACATGGAGATTAAAGCGCCGACACGTTGGAATCGAAATTCAGACCTCAATGTTTGCACACATAACTATAAGCCCAACAGCTTCGAACTCCGAACTCTTTCCAAAAGCCCTAACCTACACAACCCATAACCCCTAAATTTTGAAGTCCTGAATCCCCAAATCCCAAACAAAACATCCGAAGACCTCAATCAGCCTCCAAACCCTTTTTGCGTCAGGGCTTGTACAATCGCCTGAATGTCTGAGCACACGGAGGTTCAGCTGTCATGACCCTAAACCCTAAACCCTAAACCCTAAACCCTCAATCAGCCGGCCTTGTGGAGCCCTAGGCCTACTTGCAGCAGCTCCGTCCGCGCAGCGTCGCAGTCCTCCGCCTGCAGGGGATTTGGGGTTTAGGATCCCCAAGGAATTGGGCGGGTTTAGAGCTTCAGACATGGACACCAAGCGAGTGCCAACTGTGAGTGATAACAGCTGTGGGAATGCACATACTCTGAATCTGTAGGAACTACTGTACCCGCATGAGTTCGTTTGTGTTTGTGTGTGCGTGTCGTTGGACATGTAATTACTTATGAAGTGTAATTACATCTGCATACAACAGTAACATGACATTAAACACGGCAGATTCATTTACATGTCTATGTGTGCGTACTATACACAGACAATCCGCGATTGTCCTTGCATGTATGAGTACAGGTCCACCAGCTTGTGCACGCGTGAACTCATATGTCATGTAGGCTTGGCACCTCAATCGGTGACCGTGGGAAAAACCTGGCCCCACTACTTTTTGCTGCCCCGTGCAATATGCTGACATTGTGGTGTTGAGTTCGGAAGACTAGCGCTGGAACTCCCACCTCTTCGGCATTGGGGAAGGTCAGGAAGCTCAGGCACAGGAAGGCCCAAGCTCGGTTCGGTATCATTGCCGGCTACCTCCCAACTCTCCAGGAGGTTCCCGGAAGTCGATTGCAAGCTGAATGGGTTGCAGCTGTGTGAGCCAGGGCCGGCGAGTCAGACTGACGGTTTGAGGCTTCGGATTCGGGGCGTAGTCGAGCTGTAAAACCTAACCTGGAGGTCTCATGTCAAACGTCTGGGGCCTCAGTCTTCGAGAACCTACCAGCGAGCAGAATTAGTCCCCACCTCCGACTGGAACCTGGGCAAATGCAAGTCCTCTGTATCCTGCGCTTGGAATCAACCTTCAAACAGGACCGGGCGAATATACAATTACAAGGAGAGCCACAGCACTTCACAGCCGAAGTGTGCTCCAAACATGCCTATACTAAATGCCTTCATTCCCGTAGTCGTTCAGACCACAATCAGAAGCGCGGGGGTTAGCATAAACTAGAAGAGACTATACTACACTATACTATACTATAACTATACCATACTCTACATACTATACTATACTATACTATACTATACTGTACTATACTATACTATACTGTACTATACTATACTCTACTCTACTCTACTCTACTCTACTCTACTCTACTCTACTCTACTCTACTCTACTCTACTCTGCTCTACTACTACTACTACTACTACCACTACTACTACTACTATTACCATTACCATTACCATTA